CCCACAAAAAACAGAATCACCAAAATTTCTTTAGGTTTCTTTCTTGTAGGACCTTATTCATTGGCACAGTTTGAAGAGAGAGATCTTTCAGGCTCTATGTTAAGAAATACAAGGAATTATTTTCTTGAATTGGAACAAAGGAGAGCAAGAAATCATTTCAATACCTGAGTTAGCCCCAAGCTGTTGCAGGCAATCTGGACTTAAAATTCTATTTATATATTTTTTCCAGCTATACCTTAAAATTATAACTCTTGCTAATACATGATTTAGACATGGCTGTTTGTTCTGTATCTGGTTTGTTTGTTTGCTTTTTAAATACATCATTTAATACAGCATTTAATCTCTTTGTTTCAGATTGTTCCTCACATTTCACATTCACTGTATTTACAGCAGGAGCTTACAACAGCAAGCAATGTCTCCAGGTCTTTTAACCATATTATCTAAAAACTGGGCCTTGTTTGACCAGATGTTTTGCTAAAGTATCACGACTTACACAAATGCAAACCTTTTGATTTGTTCGTTGGTCATTAAATGTGTGTCCTGTGAACTTCCAGTTTAAGTACACAATTTTTTTAAGAATACAATCTATTTTTAAAAAGTCTTCAGGATAATGATACAACATTTAACACTATTCTTCAGTAAATGTTAAATCTGGACAGCCATTTTAAAAGTCTATACTCAAAGGAGTCAGCAGATTGGACTTGTCTGTGACAAGACCCAGAAATTTTAATTTCTTGCTTATAAAAAGAAATTAACATTACGTATTACAATGTTAATAAACAGGATTTGTGTTTTCATTTTTTTCCTTGAACATTTTCACTTGAGAACACAAACAGGAAGGTTCTTGATGTGAGCACAGTTCCCACATAACTGCATTTTGTTCAAGTTGTTTACAGAGAAGAGCAAGTAAGATGAAGTGTTTCAACAGTTGCTTCAGGCTGATCTAGTTGGCATTCACAAGATGAAGCAAGCTAGGTATTGCTTTACTTTTTGCTTCCTGGTTCTTTAAAGCAGACAGAAAGGATCTGGTTTCATTCATAATTGGAAACTTCCTTCAAAATATTAAAATGTAGAGATCTAAAACTAAGAGAGGTATATGATGCATTGATATTTGAAAGCTTATCAATAGTGGGGATAAAGAATTCCCTAGGCTGCTATTAATCTGTGTTTCAACTTGGTTGGCAAAATGATAAATCACTTCATGTAAAATCTATTATTAGGCTAATCATCAAACTATAATACAAAAAGCGGGAGCTGAAAAAAGAAAGAGAGAACGCGTGCTGACATCAGAGCAGAATAGGCAGGATTAGATCCTGCATGATTTCAAGTACAAATAGATTCCTCTGGGACTTTGGGGATTAATATTTTTTTCTCCTCAGCCACTGTGAAGAATTAATGAGGGTACCTGCAACAATGCTTGCAAGCTGCTGAGTCCTGGTGATGGGGTATATGCTGCGTGCCTGAACGATAGCTGAAGCAATTTTCTTGGCATGCCTCTCCTCCCCATATGTTCTCAGGATGGACGCAAGTGCCTGTTGATCTAAAGCATTCACAACATCAGCAGCAGTGGGCATGTCAGGGTACCTACGCACAAGAAGAGCCAATTAGTTCACTGACGTCAGTTTTCATTGACAAGAGGTGAAGCTTCATAGCATTAAGACATAAAGTCAAACACACACACTGCATACAAGTGCCTTTGAGGTTTTCAAATAAGAGACAGCAACCCTAGGAAAACAGAGATAGCTTGCACCTTTTCAGTCTTTTCCCTTGCCACTTTAAATGGGGTTCGCTCCTTAACACCAATTAGAACACCTAAAACTTCCATGTGATAAACTATGCTTAATGAGTTGACAAGAAAAAATACATTTCAGTACCATGTTACGATGGAAATGCTGTGTGACTTTTCATTTAGCCAGCTTCAAAATATAAACCTGCCCCTTATGGGTTCCTTTTAGTCACCTTGCATTACATATTGTTGTCTAGTCAGAACCGATTTCGAGGATCTTTTCTTTCACATCGACTGCTACAAAAACAATTGCTCATGAAAATAATTTAACTTTACTTTTCACTAAAAGGCACAGGAATTTATATTCAAGTACTGTTTTGAGAGAATAGAAATGACCTAAAATTACAAGTGACAGGAATTATTACAACAACAACAGTATAAGCCACACATTTATTGTTTTTTAAATCTCTGTCCTTTTGCTGTTGAAAGGTGTTTTATGACCAACATATGTGGGTTTACTAATCAGAAAAAACCTACAACCTACTTAATAAATTCTCTTCTACAAAGGCATGAACGTGCAGAATATTTTTCAGGCACTTACTACCTTCCTGCAGTATCTTACAAAAAATAACAAAACTTAGAGGCAAGTAGTATCATAGCAACAACCGTCAGGTAAGGCTTTTGTTATGCCACAGGTATCTTTTGTTCTGATGCTCCTGCTCCATGTATGTATTCTCACGATGCAAATACAAGCCTGGAGTTCAGATTCTTGCAATCAGAGGGCTGAATCCCAGGAGGATCACGTGAGTTTTTCACACAGAATCGGAGAAAGTGACTATCATGAAATTTGCTGTGTTAAGACTTAACATGAATGTGTTAAGATAATTCCTTAGAAGCTGAGGCTTCCCTTCAGCTCTGTGTGAGCAATGAAAGATCTAATGACATTTCCTAAGACTACAGGTTCATCAAAACACAATGCAAAAAAAAGATTTCATTCTCCCCATAACGCATTAGGCAATTACTGCATAATCTATACAGCAAAGATCTCCAGTTGGTCACATCAAAAGCAGAAGGCTACAGAAATATATTAGGTTGTTTGAAGATGAAAACTGCTACATAAAGAAGAAATTATCATTCCACCATTGATTTTCATGCTAGACACCAATTCTAATAATTTAAATAGAGGTATTTATTTAGTAATTGTTAATTTGATAAGTAAGCAAGCCTGATGTGCCTCCTACAGAATGTGAAAGGAAGTTTACAACATTGCTAAAGAAAGCTTACAATAAATCTACAGGCATGGAAGACAACATTACACCGGTGTGTTAAAAGCAGTGTTGCTATTTGATTTCAATTGGCAGATATCATGGATGGGAGTGATTTTACTTATTTTCCATTACCTTCCTTTTAGAGAGCAATAACTGGGTCAGATGGCCACTGCAGAAAAAGAGGAAGGCTGCTCCTTTTCTGAGGGAGCAACTGAACGTGCTCAAGTGAAGGTTCCACAAATGGTAAGCGTAGCAGAAAAGGAAAGGGACTGCACTAAGGGGTTGTGAGCCTGCAGACCAAGCACGGTCTGAGCAACTGTAGGAATAAGGGTGAGAAGACATAGCTCTGAATGTGAGATGTAACCCCAAACACGCTGAAACTGTAAAATTTTAATGGCGTAGTTAACAAAAATGTCACCGGTTTAACTACTCATCAACGCTGCTCTTATTTCAAAGAAGATGATTACCAGGGTTCTAAGTATTGAGATTGAAAAAAACTTTGTGGCAAAAGAAAGGCAGTATCCTCCTGTAAAATTAAATGTGGTTTGATGAAGAGAAGTCTTCATTTTAAGGAGAAATTAAATGCATGGGGGATGCTGAGCACACATTTTTTGTGTTTCAAGGAGAAACATTTTATTAGCAGGTACCTGTCATAATCCATCCTCATGTCCAAAGGTCCATCCTTCTGCAGGGAAAATCCTCTTTCAGGTGTATCAAATTGCATAGAAGAACAGCCAGCATCCAAGAGAACTCCATCCAGAGTCCCTGGCTCAACTCCGGAGGAGATTAACAAAGCCTCTGACTGGCTAAACTGTCCTAGAAGAGCTTGAATCTGTTTCCTGTAAGAAAACAACAAATAAATAGGCTTAATTTTAACACTGCAGTGCCCTTCTTTTGTACAGCAGGAAAATAAATAGTAGCACTTGTTTGCCTTGGAAGCAATAGGGCTATTCCCAAAGTAATACTGTAAGTACTTTTCATATGCCAACACCGAAAACTGGTCCAACCCACCCATCAACTTAAGCTTCTTTAACTCTTTACTCCCTTCCTTCTTGACTTCAAGAAATGGAAACATGACTAAAGCTTCATCTTTTCAGCATGCAGGAACTCTAATGGACACCCTTCACGTCAGGAATG